CCTTGATTGAAGCTTGCCTTGTCCATCTTATGCAATTGCTAATCTCTCCTCAGCCAATAAAACGGAAGTCCAGAACAGATAATCATGAAGTTTCATCTACAGACTGGGCTGCTAGTCCTGGGAATACTCGTACAGTCAGCAGCCCAATTTGCACTCCTGTATCTGCCAAGGGAGGAAAGGCATACGGCAGATCAAAGGTCACAAAAGGGGATATGTCTGGACCTTCAACTCCTTTGTCCAATGCAGGTATGATATGGTTTTGAGGAACTGCTTTTTGATCTGACTCGGGAAAGAGCTTGATTATCATGACCAATTGCTTTGGAATGGTTTATGACAAAGTTCTTTCCTTGTGGCAATGTTTGATTCAACTCAAAACAGTTAATAAGCACGATGGATAGTTCTGTACCAACTTATGCCATTGAAGAAAGCATATGACACGTTGAATTTGTGTTGATGCAGGTTCTCCTGCTCCTCTCACTCCAGCAGGCAGCTGCCGCTACGACAGCTCTTTGGGTATGTTTCTCTTTGCGTCAAAGTGACTCACAAAAACTGGAAAAGCTACTAGCATGAGACAAGTTATTTTCTGATTTGCCTTTCAGGTCTTCTGACAAAAAAATTCATCAACTTGATAAAGCATGCAGAGGATGGAATTCTGGATCTGAACAAGGCAGCAGAGACGTTGGAGGTGAATAATCTCTGTGTTCATTATATGTCTTACGTGTGTAGTCTAATTCGAACTCAGTTTTATGATGTTTCAGGTGCAAAAAAGACGGATATATGACATTACAAATGTTCTTGAAGGAATTGGTCTAATTGAAAAGAAATTGAAAAACAGAATCCATTGGAAGTAAGGTTTCTCGTCTTTACTATGACATGGGACATTTTGGCATTTTTTGTTCATCTCTCCTTCATCAAATTAAAGTTTATCAAGTAAATGAAGATTTCACAACTTACATGGAAATTTCTAAATTGGCTACATAGGGGCCTTGATGCATCAAGACCAGATGAAGTGGAAAACGATGCTTCTATCTTACAGGTGCTATGAACAACTAAACTTCGACAGATTTTGCATATTATTATTTTAACAAGTTTAGAGATGATGTCCCCTCATATGCCTTCAATGACCTCTTGCAAATTGAGTATCAGTCTTTATCCTTGATATCTTCATAAACAAATTTCCTCATATGTTGATCTTTAATTAGATTGCATTTCATAATCCTTGTCTGCAGGCAGAAGTTGAGAATCTTTCCATGGAAGAACGAAGATTAGATGATCGCATCAGGTTGTGTAGTTTGTTATCTTTTTAAGCAAACTGTGCTCCTGAAGGTTGTAATTTCGTGCTGACACTTAGGATTGTTACAGAGAGATGCGAGAAAGATTGAGGGATTTGAGTGAAGATGAAATCAATGAAAAGTAATTTGTCCTCCTGCACTTGATTACATTCTCGAATGCAGTTTGTAAAACTTCTATACCAACTAATACCTGTGTCCAACATTTTGACTGCTATAGATGGCTTTTTGTGACCGAAGAGGATATCAAGACTTTACCTTGCTTTCAGGTACTTTTTTATTGTTTGGTTATGAGGCAATGCCCCTTCAATGTGCTGGTAAGACAAATAATATGGAAAGAAGTTCCTACTATTATGCTGCATATTTGTATGTTTAAGTTTATTCATGGAAGTAATCCTGCATTTCTTTGTATGGCAGAATGAAACTCTTATAGCAATTAAAGCCCCACACGGTACCACTCTAGAAGTCCCAGATCCTGATGAGGTAAAACTTGGAAGAGAACTTCATGTACATATTTACACTTCAAGTAACTAAATTGTGTGAATGCAGGCTGTTGATTATCCACAAAGGAGATACAGAATAATCCTCAGAAGCACAATGGGGCCCATTGATGTCTACCTTGTCAGGTAATTGTTCTAAACTATCGCAAATTCTTAATCGTTTGATAATTCAAGATGGAATTTTTTTCTCGGTTTCAGTTAACCTTTTAATTTTGCAACATCTGTCATTGCAGCCAATTCGAGGAAAAATTTGAGGATGTAAATGGTGGTGAACCATCAATGAGGTATGCACTTGCTTCCAGTTCAGGTTCAAATGACAATCCAGCAGCAGAGACAGCTGTTTATGAAAAGACTGGGCTGGTGGTAGGCGAACTGGCAGAGCAGGATACAAGAATGGCTGCTGATCTTGATGCTTCACATGACTATGCTGGAGGAATGATGAAAATTGTTCCCTCAGAGGTTGGTGTGAGTCAGTTAACTCTTAATCGTTTCAAACACTAGGTTTATTGGAAACCTAATGTTTATGTACCTCAGTAAGTTTGTTATTAATAGGTTCAAATAACTAAAGTGAGCAACTGTTTGTAATTCCAGGAACTCAACTTTGCATTCTCTTCTTTCCCTCTCTTTAAAATAGCCAACTTCTTTCTGGCCTAAGGGCTTGGCACTTCTCATATTACATCAGAGTTTGCACTGTACCTGATTGCAAGCATGATTCAGTAGTTCTGAATAACGCCGTTGCCCGCGGGCGGCCTCTCTTCTTTTCCTGTTCCTGTTCCTCTTCCATCCTGATTTTTTTAGATGGTTAATCTTTGCTAGCTGCTCCTAATTTTTTAGTTGTAATCTGATCCCAATATAGATTCCATTGGTTTGCTTTTGCTATAAATAAAATGAATTAATCAGATTGACATAGATTTTTTTTTCCTTGAAGTTAGTGCGTTGAATTATCTCTTATCCTACTAATTATGCTTTTTGTGCCTGTGTACAATAAAACTGATGCTTTTGCTTTCTTAGAACGACGCAGATTACTGGCTTCTATCAGATGCAGGTGTTAGCATCACAGACATGTGGAAGTCAGATGGTATCACTTCTTTGAATGATTCTGTAGCATTGCATACTAATACGTATCATGTTTTCGTGTCTAAATGCTCAATTCTCTGACTTCAACTACAGCTGGTGTTGAATGGAATGGGGTAAATATGCTTCACGATGAATTTGGAATGAGTGACATCAGTGAGAGGCCACAGACACCGCCATCTGGTGTTGTTGACATGACATATCCCGCGGCAAATGCAACACCTAGGTGATGTAATTGTGCACTGAGTTGGATTTTGAAACTCAAGTCGACTTCATCAAGTAGTTGCTTAAAGAGATGCAGGTGGTTTGCATGATGAATCTCTGCAGCAAGGAACTCACAAGAGGATAACAATTTAAAATATGAGGTAAAGCTAATGCAGAACAGTTGAGCCATCCGCGTAGCCCTCTGGCATGGAGGCCAATAGAAGTGTCTGAAGTTCGCTTCAGAAATCTGGATGTTCAAAGTGAAAGAGTATAAGCGAAAGTCATGTGCAAGACCACACATTCAAAACTAAGATTATTTATTTTGTTTTACAGAACTTCACCAGATTCTTTCGTGGAATTTTGCAGTTGTAAAGGGAACTCCCTGAGAAAGGCAAGAGGAGGATTGGGAGAAGCATGATAGAAGTTCATTGTCATTGATTCTATGTCTGTCTCCCTCTGGTAAGATCTGCATGTCTGCTTCACCTGACAAAACATGAAAAATGCACTTTGCCCTGAATATAGATAGGCCTCGAAGCGTTTCTTTCGTCCTTTTGTGACGAGGATCACGTTATGTTCCCGAACTAACTGCTGTCAGATTTGATCGCGACTTCTATAGATTCCTGCGATTACAGAATTTTACTTGCAAGTCTAAATGGTCACGTATTTAGTTTTTATTTAATCGATACATGAAATATTTTATTACGACTAAATTTCAAAAAGTTAGAGCAAGAGGCTGGTCACCATCACCTAATTGGACGGGCGACGTGGTTAAGAATATAAAATGTCCTTGTTTCAGTACTCTTTAATTGACTTTGTTGCTTAGCTGACTTGAAATTGAAGCTGGGAAGGGATTTTCAATCTGATAATTGAAAATTAGAATTATTCTCACGGCCCCTTAACTAATTATTGAAGTGATGAAAGATGTTCTATAATGTGATGTGAATTTTAATATTTTTGCGTGTAATTTGACTCGGAGTAATTGATTTTTCCCATTATGATTTAGATCTCATTCTCTGATTCTGAAAATGAGTTTTTAAGCACAAAAGTATTGACTGTCCCCGAATATAATGCAATATGATATCTTGTCATAATTCGAATCACAAAAATTCAGGTAAACCCAGAGATTTCTTTAGCTTGTTAAAAACTAAGTGACAATATGAGATTGAGCATATGCTATACAACTTCATCAGAAATACTCATTCTCGGAGTCGTTCGGTAATTTAGCCAAGGGACCAAGCTCAAGCCTAAAATAAGAGACAAACAATTTCATACCTAAGAATTAACTCATTTATCCATAGTTGTTCGTGTAATAACGAAAATTTAATTTATTGTCCCTATTTTTTTTCTTAAAACATAAAGATTTTGGATTCTGGTTCCTTGTCGCTTGTCACTTCTTAAATCTCATCGTTTCTCCATTAGAAAAAAGAAACCTACTTTAAACCATCCACAAAATCCATTTCTTAAGCTATCTAGTAGAATTTGGCCTACTTTAAAGCTTCCCCAAAATCCATTTCTTAAGTTATCTACTAGAATCTAAGGAGGACTTTTATAGTCTTTTTCACCGTCAGAGTAGAAAGAGTGTGAAGAGGTGTGGGAGGATTAAAAAATGAGAATGATATTAGCACTTTTCAAAAATCCTTAAGCACTCCTCTTCTTTTGCATTAGATGAAGTTTAAGGAGTATTTGAAATTTTTTAAAAGGTGCTAATATAATTTCCCAAAAAATGTTATTTACTAGATTCTGGTGGTGTATGCTTTTTAAAATGATATCAAAACACAAACTGATTTTTAGGTCCTAAGCAAATTTAAAATGCCATTTAAGTTCCAAAACTCAACAAAAATATAAAACCGGAATATTCCTTAAAAATTACTCCACTATATTCCTTAAGGGTGTGGATGAGTTACATAATCCTCCTGTTGACCTAGAACCGGTATAAATTTACACCTTCAAATGGTATAATAGAGGGTCAAGGCTTTGGCTTTAGGCCATATGGTTTTGAGTTTGATTCTTCTGCTCTGTCTGAATTATTTGCTTTAAAAAACTTGAGTTTTCCAGGCATGCAAGTGCCTCAGATAAGTTGGCGCTTTTGAAGACCCGAATCACAGAAATAAGTGGATAGTAGTTGTCATGATTACCAATTATTTGCTACCTGGAGCTATTTTTCAATAATTATGTATCAGGGCACTGGGTGAGATGTTAGACAATTAAGCGATCTAGCGATTTCACATGTATCATGTAAATGGAAGTTGTAAAGCGTCCTTGTTCATCTAGCTCAAGATTGTGAGCAAAGCTTCTAATAACTGACCCAACCCTGAGTAAGTATAATCACTCTATTGTCAAATTACATATTCTAGAACTTTTTGTTAATTATTCGGCAAATAAGCTAAAACTAACTTAAGACTTCTTGAAAAGAAATATTGCCCGAGCTGATCTAGTGAATGACAGCTCTTTTAAAAGGAGTTGAGCCAATGAAATAACTGCCATCTTGGCATTAGTATCTGGAATCTGGTAAAGGACACTATCTAGAGGGAGCCTAGTTAGGATGCGGATGTTTCATTTGTCAATTGCATCTTAATATGTATTTATTTACTAAGAGTCATGCAGTATCGAGCAAGGTAATATTGTAGAACAATATGATAAACCCTGCTGAATACAATTTTGTTTGTTTTCTTAGCTGCATTCTCACGGTGTAATATGTTGTCTGGTCTTCGTTAGTTTTGAGTTTCTTGCATTGCTAGCTTCAGATCATTGGGTTTCGTCTAGACTATGTAAATAAACAGCATAGACTTTGAATTTTTGTTGTTCTTAGCAATATGCGTGTATTTGGGTGACTCCTGTAATTGATTTTCTGATGGTAACTTCATTAATTTTGCAGTACCATTCTATGAGAAATGTGCTCTTTATGGCCATGACAGAATTCAAAGAGGTAAATTGTTGCTTATCCACTTGTTTGTTTCACATCTAACGTCTTGGTCCTTAAGAAGAAGACATAAGGCGGTTCATTAGTCCATGGTGGGTTTTGTTTATGCTTTTCCAAGAAAAAATCTTGTGTGCTAGAAATCAATGGTTGAAGTTATTATACTCTAAGGCCTAATTCTCATGTTTGACTACTTATCTTAATTCCAAAAGAAATGTTTGTTTATGTATAGTTCCTTAACTTTCAGTCTTCGGTTTGTCACTACTGTTAAGGTGCTTATCTTGAACGGGCTTAGTCCTCTTGAAAAGGACTATGCAAGCAAAATATAAGTTTTGTCTCAATCATCATATGGATTTGTTATCTAAACGATGACATTTTATTTCAGCTTTCCGAAACTCCAGATTGGGACTTCATAAGGGAAAAGAGAGGTCAGATTGCCTTTCTGTTTGGCATTGATGATCACTGGGGTCCCTTGCATCTCTTCGAGGAGGTAGGGCATTCACTTCTTTTCGAATAGTAATGTTCTGGGAATAATCTGTGACTTAATCATTACTAACCTGATAAGCAGCTTTATAGACCTGACTAGCTCTAAAACCAGCTAAGAATAGTTGCATTGTTACCGTTAGAGAATTAAAAATTCATGAGCAGCAATAGCTTCATGATAATGGCGTTCTCATTTTCATGTTTAGAAGTAGGACTGAGAAGAGGTTCAAGAATGTGTACAATTACATAGAGGTGGCAGTTTCTGGAATAAGAACAATAGAGAGACATGCTTTACAGGATAATTTGGTAGCATTTGCATCAAACTTGGGGAGAGAGTTCAGTTGGATCCCCATTAGAAGTAGTTTCCTTTGGTCCTCTTGCCATTCAAATCATAAAGCAATTTTTGTCTCTCAAGCGAATTTAGACTGTTTTCTATTGTAAGACTATTATTCCATATAGTATTGCACTTTATATGCGGAGCTCTTGATTCGGATGAAAGGAGTAGTTAGATTAGGGAGGATTTTATTGAAATAGAAGTTTCAAATGATGGGACTAAAACCTCACTTTGTCACGACCTCGTCTACAGTGATATCTTCTACTTGTATCATGGTGACACATCCTATTAATGTAATATTATTATCCTACTACCTAGTTTTTACGATTTGGTTATTGTTTGACCCTGGATCATAGTGCTACCCGCTGATCACAGTTTTGCTTGCAGATATCCAAACAAGTCCCAGATGCTGTTCTCGCGGTTGAACGTCAGGGCCATTCTCACACTTTCTCTTGCACAGAGGCTGGCTCATTATGGGTTGCTCAGCATGTTGCAAGCTTGATAAAGAATCACATGTTGAAGTCTAGTATGTGAAATGGAGATCAAGCTTTTGCTAATTTAGGACCATATATTGCTTCTGAATCGTTTTCTTTTCTTCTTCCCTTGGATTATTGTGGAATGGATGTTTGCCTTCTAAATCAATTGTGATGAATACCGAATTGGGTTTTCTTGGGTTCTGAAGAAGCCATACGGGGATCTTCAAACCCTGGCACAGGCTTTTGGAATTTCCAGCAATTGTTTTTGGTTATATGGGGAATTTGAGAACCGTTGACAACTAAGAATTAGGATTAGATTGTGAGATTGATTTATATTAGAACGCTATCAGTGCTTTGTAGAAATCTGTAACTTTTACCATATACCATCTAGCTGAACACTACCCAAAAAGAAAAAATCCTGACTTTTCCTCCTAGATGCATGATGATTAAAATTGAATACATGGTTTGAAGGCTCATCAGTTTCAAAGAAGCAAAATAAACGCAGGATAAATATAAACTCATCTAGTCAACAAACTAGGACTGATGATGCTGAAGTTAGGCGATTGGGTGAATCACTGAAAAACCCAGCAATTTAGCGAATACTACAGGTACGGGAGGAATTATGTAGACTTCTCCTTCTCGGGATTTAGGTTTGATTGCCGAATTCTTATTTTCGTAAGAAAAGTGCAAGAGGGAGATAGCATCATATTTTTGTTTCTTTCTCTTACTTCAACGTAATTCAAGAGTTGCATAACTTTTAACGTAATTCTTGCATTGATCTTTTGTTTCCTTCTTTTCTGTCGGTAGACCTGATGTGTGTTGAAGTTGAATTAAATGCTGCATTTATTTTGGTAAAGGGCCCGACTTGACTTCAACTGGGGCGCGAATGCTAGATGGAAGAGGGTACCAAACTATCGATTAGTATTTAGGGAAACACGCCTGATGGCTAGTGGTTTCTTATCAAGGTCTTGTCTTGAAGCCATGAACGTACTGAACAGCACTCGAACATTGTAGGAAATGATTTATCTTTGCATCAGTGGACTGTAAATGAGTTTCTGCGCCATATGACCATTGCATATTTTCACATCAGCCTGTGATTTACCATTTTCTTCTTACTTTGCAGTTTGCAGGTGAAGGCGTAAAAGTTCTGCCTCCAGTTGCACATGAAAAAAAGGGTTTTGGATCATCTGGATGGCATGAAAACAAAAGGTGTGCACGTAGCCGGCTCTAAACAAAGGCTGAAATATCATCAAGTAGATGGTTTTACCATTCTAAGCTTTCACCTTGTCTCTGAAGCGTCCTCACGAGGCTCCTTTTCTGCTTTAGGCTTCATTTGGGAGCAATGATGGAGTCAAGGGGGCAGAGGGGCCCCCTAAGTTTTGAGAATTTTAATTCATAATATATAAATATGTGTGTAAAATAAAATTGGTCCCCCCTAAATTTTTTCAATTTTAATTTATATTATGAGAGTTAATATATATATATATATATAGTCATCTTTGAATGGAATGGCTTGCAAGCTTTAATTTGCCATGAATGTCCATATGCCTATTACATTCATTGTTTGGCTCATAGGTTTCAACTTGATTTAGCAGCAGTTTCTAGAGAAGTAGCTTCTGTTCACCAATTCTTCTCCAATATAGTTTTCATTATCAACATTGTTACTGCATCTAACAAACGTAATGATGAATTAAAGGAGGCTCAAGCAATTGAAGTTGCTACTAAGATTGCTAATGGTGAACTTGAAATTGGAAGGGAGCTTAATCAAATTGGCACTTTAAAACGAGTTGGAGATACTCGTTGGGATTCTCATTTGGATTCTATTTCCAGTTTACTGAAAATGTTCAATGCTACTTGTGTGGTTTTAAGTAACATTGCAGTAGATGGAGGTTCATACTCTTAACGTGAAGAAGCAAATTTTGTTTTGAATCAGTTGTTATCCTTTAAGCTTGTTTTCACTTTGCATCTTATGAAAGACATTATGGAAATTACTCATCTTCTTTGTATAGCATTACAACATAAATCTCAAGATATGTTGAATGCACTGCATCTTGTCTCAAGCACAACAAAGCTACTGAAGAACTTTCGAGATTTGGGATGGGATAATTTCTTGGTGAATGTTAAATTATTTTGTGAGCAACATCAAATTGATATCCCATGTATGAATGCTCAATATATTGCAAGACGTGGTAGATCTCGAAGTCATCATGATGAGATTAGTGTGGAGCATTATTATCGAGTGGATATATTTCTTGCAACAATTGATTATCAATTGCAAAAGTTACATAGCAGGTTTAATGATCATACCGTGGAATTGCTTATTTTGAGCACTGATTTAGATCCTAGAAATGGATTTTATGCTGTTCAAAATTGATGATATTTGTAAACTTGCAGAGAAGTTCTATCCGAATGATTTTATGAAGCAAGAACTAGAACGTCTAAGAATAGAACTTCAACATTTTGAACTCGACATTCCAAATCATCCTGAATTGCAAGAATTATCTGGTATTAATGAGTTATGTCAAGGCTTGGTGAAGACAAGAAAATCAGTGATATATCCTGTTATTGATAGATTGATTAGACTTGTTCTTACTCTTCCTGTATCAACTGCAACTTCAAAGCGGGCATTTTCAATTATGAAAATAATCAAGACAAAGCTCCAAAACAAGATGGAAGATAATTTCTTGAATGGTTGTCTAACTGTGTATATAGAAAAGGAAGTTGCTGAAAATTTTAGCAGTGATTCAATCATAGATGAATTTAGTTCTATGAAAGAGCGTAGAGCTCAATTTACTTCTAAGAAAAGATATTGAAATTTCAAAGTATGCTAACATAACTTTTATCTTTTTTTAATTAAAAATAGTTACATTTATATTATAAGGTTTTATATATATATATATATATATATATATATATATTTATAGCATAGGTGACATATTGGAGAGCATTTTCTCATAATGTGTAAATTGGATGGTTTGTGATGTTATAAGATATTTAATCAAAGGTTATCTTTTTTGTTAATTTTTGTTATGACTGTACCGTATATTTATGAATAGACATACCTTTATAATTAAATTTATTATTTGATATTTTTAGATGTCATATATTTAAATAAAAGGAAATTATTTTGAACAGAATATATTAAGATAATTTTATTAGGAAAAAATTTTGACCCCCCAAAAAAAAAATCTTGGCTCCGTCACTGGTTGGGAGTTGAGGATTTGGACCGAAAAGAAAGAGAAAGAAGAGAAAGTTTAGTTTTCCTTTGTTTGTTAGTTTTTAGTAAGAAAGAAAAGAAAAGAAAAGAAATGGGAGGATTCGGAAAGATGAATGAACATTAGCCAAAACTTTTCCTTCCAAATTGGACGAAAATGGAAAGAAACTTTGAGAAAGCTTGTCAAATTTTTAAAAATGTTTATTTGTCCTTAAAAAGATCTTGAACAAATATTTAATAACTTCTATGTCCAAATCATTTCACTAATTCTCAAAACTCCAAACAACATAATAATCCTTTCTTTTCTTTTCTTTTCTCTTCTTTTCTCTCATAATTTGAGTTTTCCCTTCTTTTCTTTTCTATCCTAAACTCCCAAACTAAGCCTAAAGTCTTTACCCTTTTATATAAGGATAATTTCAAAACCTCCCTGAGGTTTCTAACAATGTCACTGGACTCCCTTAAAATTTAAAAAATTACACATCTCCCTTAATTTGATAGCTTTAGTAATAAAATCTTAAAATAATATTGACTTAGTCTAATTTTTAAACGAACACTAAAAAATGCCCTTGTGTAATGAGTTTTAATTTACTTTCCCCTAGAATTATAAGATTATCTAATGTAATTATAAGGAAAAAGTGTCGAATTTTTCATGTTCATACCTATTATTTGATAAACAACTATAATAATAATTTTATCACTATGATACAATACATTTGATAGATTTTATTATGGATTTAGATTTATAAAATAGAAAATAAAACGTTAAAATAATTGATTCAGAGTTTATGAATTTTTCTAGTAGTGGGATTATCATAATTTAGTAGCTGTTTTGGGCAAATTTTTTTATTTATTGTTAATTTTAATACCAAAAAATAGAAAACAAAGATTGGCAAAAAATATTAGATTACGTATAAAGTTAACTTATCAAAAAAATCACTAGTTCAACATTTGATTACAATATAAAAGTGGTAATTCTACAGTTTTATTGGTAAAAAATTAAAATAAAAAGAAATAAGGAGGAAAAAGAATGAAAAAATAATTTTAAAAGTCATTCTAAGTATAAGCATACCAAATAAGGAAATTTCATTAAAATATTTAAGGATAGTATTATCATTTTAAATAATAAAAGAGGTATATATAATTTTTCAAATTTCAAGGAAGCTCAGTGAAATTGTCAGAGAAACCTGAGGTTTCATCCCTTTTATATATGCTGTGAACCATGGACCCTCATATTATTGTCTTGCTCAATTCTGCGATGAGGAAAGTCACAGACGGACATATAGTCAGAGCTTTAGTTCTTTATCTCTGAGTTTGTTTACTTTTGACCGATGAGTGAGCACCAGGAGAGAATAGAATATTTGGATTTTTTTTTTGAATTCCTTGAGCATGGTTTCCAATCAACTATTTTTCTTTTCATCTTTTACATTATGTACATCACATTGAAAAAGTAATATAATACAGTACTGATGTCCAAAAAAAATTTCTGAATAATTTTCAATCCAAGTCCAATCTTTATTAGGCTCTCTATAGGCGTGTTTAGATAGTGTATTGTTTGAAATAACCTGTGTATTATTTTTTTTTGTAATGTTATGTATATAATATAGAAACAGAAAATATAAAAAGTTATTTTTAAAACGTGTTTGTGATGCGAACAAAATAATATTTGACAATTTTTATCTTGATACTGTATGTTTTTGGTCCGTTGTGCAAACTTTTTGCATCAAAATGAGCTATCAGCAAGTATTTGTGAAGCAACCATTTCATTTATTTCGTTTTCTAGTATAAGGATTTAAGTACTGTTTATTGTAGGTAAATGAAACCAGAAAAAAAAAAAATTTTGGGTATTGGAGAGAGAGAATAATTCATATTGCAGCCTGCGTTTTTTAATGAATATTGACGTTGAAAATCATCATGGTACTAAAATTAGTAATTTTTCCTCTCTTGGGGTAGAAAAGCACTATTAAGATGCATGTGGGTGTGGGTTTCAATTATCTACAATTCCTCAAGGGAACTATTTGCTCATTGCTAAGGAAGAAATTTTTCTCAGAAAAGCTTTAAACCTGTTGGCTTATGAGATTAGCGGATATGTTCAAAAAAGGGCAAATTATTTAGGGAGTCCTTAAATCATATTAATTGTCAACTATTAGTTCCTTATCTATTTTAAATCTTATACTGTACCTTCAATAATAATAAAAAAAAAGTCAAATTATGATCTTTCAGTCTATTCCTACCATTAGATCCATCAATTTTGCAGTTAGATCCATCAAATTTAACGGTGAAAACGATTGAAGGATCAAAATTTTAATATTTTTAGATTATTGAGCTGTCAATTTAAATTTTGAAATAAATGAGATCCCAACAGTTGACAATTAAAATAGTTCAGAAACTCCCTGAATGATATGGGCTTTAAACTATTGCAAGTTGGGGAGACTGTATACTTTATCATTTACCATAGCAGCCCACTTTAAGCGTCTAGAATACAAGATCATCAAAGGGGTGAAAATATCGAGCAAAAAAAGAGACGACCGGATACCGCAAACGTAGAATTCCACGTCGTAGGTGTTCCCACCATTGATAGTGCTCCATACCACAATCCGAAGTGAAATAGCAATTGTTAATTTGGACACTTAGCCCGGGTTTTTTCGGTCAATTTTTAATGGATCCCTAGAATAGATCATCATCATCATCCTCCCTCCTAACACCTGTCAGCTTCCGTTTCTCATTCTATACCTCTGCTGCTACTCTGTTATTTTAAACCCACACACACAAAAGGGCAACCGTACGTATTAGATTACAGCAGCACTTTTTATGATAACGTGACGCATGTGATAAAAAGATAATTAAAAAATTTAAAAATATATTAAAAATTATAATAATCATATAAGTAAATATATCTGAACAAATAATCTACATCCAAACAAACTCGAGCCCATTTTCTCCCTTCCATCATTTATTTTATATTAATAATTCTACAGTCTGTTGTCTAGAGTGACTTGCATCAACACTTCACCTCCTTGCCCACGGCCCAAATTTTAAAGATTTCCCATTTCCTCCAAAGATGCCAACATGGGGAACAAGATAGAGATCTCAATTTTCCTTTATGCTTGATTTGGTTTCGTGTAACCCCCCAAGAGCTGTCAGATTAGCCTTGACAAATCCCAGAAAGGAAGCGGGGGTTGGGGGTCCCGTCTAAACTCTTAAACAGGGTCCCTCCATCCTCAC